TTTATTTACTTATGCAACCTCCATTTAACTCCAAACACTTAACTAAACGTCCAGGTTAGAGGTGGGAATTCTAGTTTCTTGGGAGGAACTAGTTTCTTGGGAGGAACTAGTTCCTTAGTTCTAGTTCATTCAGAGGAATAGTTTCTTGAACTAGGTCTTTAGAATATCTACTTCGTTTTATAAGATATTTCTTAATTTTAGGGACCTAAAGTGAAACATTCCCATAAAATATTTAAAAAATAAACTAAAAATCAAAAACAGTATCCACGACAATTTTCTGTGGTAATTACGCTGCGCCGGCTGCGGCAATAGACAAGGCCGAATCCATCGTCGTCGCCTTGTATTATATCTCGGATCTGCCGACTGAATAGATTCCCGTGAACTAGTCTTTTAATAGTTCCTCTATGTCCGGATCCGATAACATACGGCTCGCACTCCCCACGCCTGCCTAGCATCAATCGCGCTGGCTGATCCATACGAAAACTAGTCTTTTATTTAGTTCCTCTAGTTCCTTGAGGTCCGGATCCGATAACATACGACATAAGGCTGGCACTCCCCACTCCTGCCTAGCATCGATCGCGCTGGCCCGATCCGTTCGTACGTAAACTGGTCTTTTATTTAGTTTAGTTCCTCTAGGTCCGGATCCGATAACGTACGTCTGGCACTCCCCACTCCTGCCTACCATCGGGCTACGCGCGCTAGCCGATCCGTCGCCGTCGCATATTATTCTATATCGGACACAGTCTCGATCCCGGAATAGGTCCTGAGGAACTAGTCCTTTGAGAAACCAGGAACTAGTTCCTTTCATTCCGGGGTCGGAATAGTTCATTGGAACTAGTTCGTTCACGAACTACACACCTCTAGTCCAGGTACACCCGAAACTAGGTCCAAACCATAATGTTCAGTGGCGGTAATCAAATCTTGTTTCTTTCGTGGAGCTGCTCGTTCCAGTTTAATCTTCAATAGTCCCCATATCTTTTCAATGGGACTAAGGTCTAGTGAAGCTGCTGGCTATGGAATTGTTGCCAAATGGTGTTCTTGCATCCAAGCTTGAGTATAGGCAGATGTATGGCATCTTGCATTGTCATGGTGAAAACGCCACCCCTCTGGATATAAAACATTAGCCGTTTCAAGAAGAAAACCATTTAAAATATCACAATATTTTGCACTATTAACAGTTACATCAACTATACACAGAGGTGTAGCACCACGCTGAGATATTGCGCCCCAAACCATTATTTTAGTGGAAAATTTTGAAACTTGAACAGTAACATTTTTTTTGGTAGGATTTTTAGGTTGGTTGTAGCATATCTGTGTCATTTTTTATCCTCTTTATTGTCTCATATATTGCACTTTTTCCGAGTTCAGTCCATTGCACTAATTTTTTAACGTTTCGAACACCTTTTCTATACAAATATTCCACCGTTTCTCTTTTTTTTACTTGCGACATTATTTCTCAAATCTTAAGCCGGTTTACAATCAACAATATTTGACAGATTGTGTTGCCATGCGATTTTGGTCATAGCCTACTATCGGCACAACCTACGTGATGGATTACTGTTGTCTTAGAGTGTTACAGAAAAAAATATATATTAAAATTATAAAATATAAAATTCCGGATACTTTCTAGACGGGCTATAATAAATTATATCTCTGAATTGTTTGTTTATGAACGTGTGCGTTGTTTTCCTCATCAAAAAATGAAGTGTATTATTTTTTCAAAATATCAAACAGAATAGCTGAAAAACATCGAATAGCGCGGGACAATATCCGCTGAATTTATAATCAACCTCAGTAATTCGATTTGCTTGAATACAAATTTGCATAGCCAACCAAAAACATATTTACTTTGGGTCTTTTTGGTTCTTTTGGAAAAAAACATTTAGCGAATTGAAGAATAGTTTTACATTTTTTATTAAATAATAAAAACATTGTAATTATACTCACCGGAACGAAAAACGGGCATCTTAGAATATTGATGTATTTCAAAGTTTAATATAGTTTGTTCTAGTTGGCCGATTTTGATGATTTTTTAAACAGTTTGTAGCTAAATTATTTTACTTTTTAGTATGTTTTTCCAAATTAAAAATAAAAGTTTCCATCTGTCAATTATAAGAGGGAAATCAAAATGTTGATATTTTGATGAAAGTTTGAAACGCCTTGTGGAATATTTTAACAAAGCAAGGAATTTAAAAATCATTTTATCATCTAGTCTTTAAAACCATTTTATCATCGTCTTTTCCTGACAGTTTGTTTTTTGATTCATCTCAGTATCTTTTTAATTTTTGTTGAGATATTCGCTTTTAAATAAGACAGTACCGTTTTACAACAATTTTAGCACTACCTAATTTTGGGTCCTCATTAACACACGTATAAAATAATGTTTATTGTTTTTGTAATAATAACAACAATAAATTGTAATTTTCACTAGTAATACCACTAGAGGTCAAATTATTTAAGCGATTTTAAGCGAGAAAAAATTTCCAGATTTATTTTGACCTCGTGTGGTATTCGGTAAGAAATAATAATTCCACACCAAATTGTGTTTGAAAATCAAATAATTAAAATGTATTTTTCGATTTTTGGTCGACTTGATTATTTAGTTACTATGGTAACTAAGTGACACCCAAACCTAAAAACTATTTCAGTTTTGAAGCTGTCAAAAATAATAATATAATGGATTCTTAGCCTATAAACTGTTGATTTATACTGATTGAAGTAGTTCAAAAGTGCCATTTTAGGACCTAAAATATTATATTCTTTCATTTTATAGTTACTTGGGCTTACTACAAGTGGTAGAAAATCATAATGTGCTTCTACTCGTTGTAGTTGCACGAAAATACCATCTCAAGGTACAACACAATATATTCTTTAATTTTACAAGTTTTGAGTAACTATAAGTGGTAGAAAATTGTTTTTTTGCATTTTTATTAACTTTTCATAAACGCACTGGTATGGAATTCATAACCAGCGCGCAGCGCCAGCAAGCGTCAATCATAAAAGGCTGTGATCATCGTATTTTGACAGTTCAAAATATCAGAAAAACTCGCGTTTTGTTGTAATAAAGAATATTGTGCAGCTTGAAAAACCAACAAAATTCTTTGTTTTAAAAATGAATCAGTTTGAAAATCATACTACATGCAAAATATTCGTGAAATTGTCTGATGTTATGATCAATCATCGTGCGATGACTTATTTACCCCCATTAATAGAGGATTGTGGCTGCTACTTGAAGAAAGAAAATTTGTTTCGAATTGTCCACGAGTATTTGCATCTAAACTACTCAAAATTCAAAGTGCTAAATGGAAAAAAGGTGAATAAAATAGTGTCTAAATATTATACATATATATTTCATTAGACATAGACATTTAATTCAGTCCATTCCAAGTCCTACATTTTCGCCATTAAGAAGAAAGGAGGTGTCCAAAGAATATAGAAAACATCTCAGCTTTGTAATTGAAATGTATCAAAATTATTATGTAAACAAATAAAAAACAGACTCTCAAAAAGATATTCTGTCATTATAAACGTCAAAAAATTTCCAGTATAATTCGTTTCCATGGTGATTTGTCAAAAAACACGTTTTGATTGGTTAAAAATTACAGGTGTGGAATTTTCACTGTAATTAAAAAGTCATATTATTATTTTTTATTGACGTTTACTCTAGTAGAGATGGTTTTAAATTACTGAAGTATCGGCTATTGCTGCTTTAATTGATTATGGTAGAGATCAACTTTTGGACTTAAAATCGTATCTACTAGAGTAACTGACTAACAGACAATTATAATAACTTTTCAAATACAGTGACGTGGCATAAATCATAAACACTATTTTATAGGTCTGTTCACTAGGACCAAAAGCAAAAGCATGACTTTAATGTAAAAAATTCGAAAAAATATTAGTGTCGCCTTCAAAAGCGAATATGTCAAAAAAATAAAGCTATTGAGATGAATCAAAAAACAAACTATCAAGAAAAGATACACCTAGATAACAAAATAATTTTTAAATTTCTTGCTTAGTTAACGTACTCCACAGGGTGTTTCAAACTTTCGCCAAAATATCAACATTTTGTTTTTCCTCGTATAATTGACAGATAGCAGCTTTCATTTTTAATTTAGAAAGAAATTCTAAAAAGTCAAATAATTTAGCTGCAAACAGGGGCAGATCCAGGAATTTATTTTAGGGGGGTGCCAAATAAAAGGTAATGTAGAATAAGCTTTTTAGAGCGCAATTTTTAACCCAAAAGCTTAATATTTAACACAATTTATAGATTTTAGGGGGGGTCTTGGCCCCATGCCCCCCCCCTTTGTATGCGCCACTGGCTACAAATACACTAGAACAGAATACATAAAACTTTAAAATACATGAAAATTTTAAGATGTCCATTTTTCGTACCGATGAGTCTATTAAGTTTTGTTCTTAAATATCTACTATACAGGGTGGTCCGAACTGTATTTCGGAAACTTCGGCAGCATATTCTGCAGATAAAAATAAGTAAAAACGTTCGTATAAATGTATGTCCTAAAATGCTTAGTTTCAGAGATACTGGGTGTAGAAGTTTCAATTTTATTTCGATTTTTTCCAAATAATTTCTGAAGTAACAAAAAGTTATTACTCTTAAAAACAGTCAAAAACACATGTAGGTAGCGCCCATTACTAGTAGGAGTCATATTGACCTCAAAATCAAATTTCTCGTATCAACAAACCCCCAGACACCAATTTTCATCCAAATATTGACGTTACTTCAGAGATTATTTAGAAAAAATCGAAATAAAAATGAAACTTCTACACCCTGTATTTCTGAAAATAAGCATTTTAGGACATACATTTATACGAACTTTTTTACTTATTTTTATTTGCAGAATATGCTATCAAAGTTTCCGGAATACAATTCGGACCACCCTGTATATATTATAAACGCGTGTTCAAATATTAATATTGTGGAATATATCTCATCTCATTACACATTAATTAATTCTATTGTATGTTTTTCTTTTCAGGTACATCGTTCGTACCACCAACAGATGCATATCGGCCAAAGCATGTTCAGACCTAAACAACGAAACGACCAAGTTCTACAGGAACAAGAACTGGCTGATTTACGAGAACGAGTGCAGGAGCGATTGCCCGGTTGGTACCAAGTACGACAACACCACCAACACCTGCAAGTCCTGCGGCAACTTTTGCGTCAGAAACTGCACGGTTTTCGAGATCAACAATCAAAACGCCATCACCAACCTGTACGGTTGCACGCATGTGCTCAGTCCCTTGTCGATAGTCGGTTTGAGGACGGAACAGGAACTCGAAGTGCTCAAGCAGAACCTGAAATGGGTCAGGTACATCAGGGACTACTTGCAGATATCAAACAATCGCAACTTGAAAGATCTGAACTTTTTGCCGAGCCTGAGGGTCATCGATGGCCAAAATACCAGAGCCAACAAAACGTTGCTGGTGTATGAGAATCGCAACTTGAAAAAGTTATGGGATGGGGATTATTCATTGAAAATTAATGGTTAGTATGGTTCTTTTTAAAAAATGTCTATACCTATGTGGCGGATTTATCTCTCCAAAAAAATCCTTTATAAATCTACAAAATAAAATAGTTATTTTTTGTAAACACTTCTGGCGTTAAACCTAAACGGACACTGCTTGTCAGAAGTTACGTTTACAGTTATACAAACTTGCCTAACAAAAAAATGCTTAACGTTTCGGAAAGTTTATCTCTTTCCGTCGTCGGAAGCAAAAAAAATACAAAGAAAAAAAAACTATTTAAAATATTTAAATTCAACTATTCGAGAACACTTTACTGTTTTAAAACAGATACGTCTACAAGAAACCGTCGACGTTCTGTTAAAATAATTATTTTATTGTTTTTCCGAAACGTTAAGCATTTTTTTTTTGTTAGGCAAATTTGTATAACTGTAAACATAACTTCTGACAAGCAGTGTCCGTTTAGGTTTAACGCAGAAGTGTTTACAAAAAATAACTATTTTATTTTGTAGATTTTCTTGCAGTGCAGTGGCGAAATATCCATAAAGGATTTTTTTGGAGAGATGGTTACTTTTCCCGTTATAATTTAAAACGATCTAATCTGTCAAAATAAGATGTTTCAATTGAAAACAGAGTGGTACGTGCTAATATGTAATAAAGATTTTTTGGAACAAATACAATAATGTCAATGAAACAGAATATGTAGTTGAGAACCCAAATATGTGGTTTATGAAAAAAAAATCTTAGTTGGTCTTTATTTTTACAGGGTGATTCAGTAAGAATGGAGGCTGGTAAATACAGTGTGACACGTCGATTGATAGAAAAAAAACGGCGTCAGCGATGGCTATGAAATGTAGATCGCTGTCATTTTATATGGGAAATGTTATCGATCGTTATTTCCCAGCGAACTGGACGCCGTTTTTTTTCGATCATACAGTATTTATAGTTGTGCATTTTTCTTAGTGATGGGATAACTCGAGCGAAAATTCGCTCGATTATGAACGAGCGACGAACGCAAGCGATCCTAGAATGAAATAAATTGAAATCCGATTTTAATGTGACATATTCGTTAAAAAACCGAGCGAATTTTCTACATACATTGCAGGTAGCAAATTTATACTACGTTATCCGTTGCGTATCTGAGTGACAAAATTTTACGACCTACATCGACAATGCCTTGAAATAAACTAAATCAAGCGAATCGCTCGTCGCTTGCTACTTGCCATTCATCACCGAAAGAATATGTACTCTGTGCACGCAACTTACTGCTTGGCGTTGCGAGTACTCGATTATTGAAATTAATCGGTTTTTCCCATCACTAATGTTTTTCAAAAGTTTTACATGTTCGTTTTTATATGGTATGTCTTCTAACAATGGACAATACAAACCAATTTTATCATTTTAAATAAGACACTCTGCATATTATTCAATTGTTAGATTCTTTAGAAAATTCTAGACGTATTTCATGTAGAATATTCTATACAGTTCATACCAAATAAACTTTTAGTCGTGATTAAGCTTGACCGGCACAGCGTTGCCCACTTTTATATATTTTCTTTTAATCAAAATATTTTAGGAAACAGAAATAAATTAATAATTATAAATATATAAACAATTATTATTTACATCAACAAAACTCACCTTCTTAACAGCATTTAAGGGACATAAAGGGGCATTACTATCGCTTTGCCGTTCAAAATATTCTAATAAAGTTGCTTTTAGTTTTTTACGACTATTAAGCTATCTTGTACCCACTTCGCACTAAGAAAGGTTCTAAAAAGAACAATGTTCGACTGCAAGGTGTGCTAGTAAACGTTTTCAAGCGTAATGTATCACAACACTATTTATATTTTTTACCAAAAACTCGTAATACAAAATTGAAGTGCCAAAACGAATGACAATGTCAGGAAATAAATAAATAAATGCGACAACTTCACATTTCTTTTATTGTTTAACTTCACAGTTTAGAATTGACAGATTTCACTTCAGAGCAGGGTTCGGAAGTAGTTAATTAAGACGTAATTTACCTGATTAACTACGTGTAGTTTTTCTTCAAAAACTACGTCTTTTCCCGTTCATTAACTACATGAAAACTACGTTAATAAACTATGTATTCATATTATGAATAATTTTCCTTTGTATGAGGTGTATTAGAGATAATATGATGTAAATATTATATTTAAAGCCATATTTCTCCTGTTTTCTTAAATACATTATGTGTTTTTAAAGCTTCAACTTATTATAACCTCACCTCAAACCTTTGACATTTGAAAGTTACATACATAGGTTACATAAACTACACCCTCTACATAAACTACATTAACTACATGTAATGTAGTTTATGTAGTTTTTAAAAGTAACATGTAGTTTTCCGAACCCTGCTTCAGAGACAACTTGAGATTTGTTCTAGAACAAATTTCGACGCCATTAATTCTCTCCGTTTAGTTTTCTTTTGTAAATTCAATTTGATATTTCGGCAGACATTTATAAATATAAAGGTAATAAAGCATATAAAATATATATCACATGAAAAATACTGGAGAAAAAGACGTTTCTGCAGTACTAGGTATGTCCCATGTATATTAAAAATAGGTAGTAAATAAACACTATTTCTGTATTTTTTAGATGCAAGAAAATTTTGTTGTGTTTATGATCGGCGATTTTTTTGAAAATGGAAACAATTTACAGCAAGGTAAGATCATTTTTAACTATAGCCAACATTAGTTATCTCCAGTATGTGCGATTTATTGTCAATAATGCAATAAATAAACAAATTGTCAATAATAAATCTGACTGATACAATCTGATAATTATCCGACTAAAAGTCTCTTTTTGCTTCTTTTTTATTTATAAACCAGGTCTCTGGGAATAATGGACGCTTTTTTAAACAGTATATTGATATTTTATACCTGATATTTTTACATTGTTAATTTTAGTATAAAAAACTGTGTTTTTCTGTTTTCAGGTGTTTGTATAAGGCTCCCGTTTTCATGTTCCTGTCCCCGTTTTCTGTCCCTGATGGCTGTAAATACGTGTATTTATTTACAAATTACTGTAAGTCATGCTTATACCTTACTAATTTACGTTAAAATTGCATATAATTAAGTAATTGCTGTAGAGATCATTCAATTCTTTATTTTTTATATTTATTTAGTCACGTTGTCTCATATTTCAAATAAATATGTTTGAATAAAATTTTGTTTTGTTTTATTTATGATAAGAAAAAGTACAAAACACATTTAAACTGAAAAAGGGCCCGCCATTAAATAACCGGAAACGAATATAAAAAATGAAGCCATCATGTCAACCTGTCAATTGGAAAATTAGTTCTCCAGACGACAACGAAGGCTTTCGGTGGCGTATCGTGTTTTCACGATTTAACACAGAGTTGACACTTCTTTCTAGTTAATTATTTTATGGAGCTACCACCTGAATCCCCAGCGCGAAATTTAAATTCCAGTTAGTCAGCACGGCGCCGAATATGTCCCTGGTCGGCAACAATGAATTTAAAAATCTCGCCCTCCAAATATAGATTTATATGTCTCACTGAAAGGCACTTATTATCAGTGGAATATACTCGTTTTTGGCAGATTTTTGGCAATTTCGAGATATCGACTTCGTGAGATTCCCAATGGGTTATTTTTTAACATGGAAAATTGGCGTATCTCAATTTTCATTTTATATTCATGTAAAAAATTGGCCCTATCCTAAATACTAGAATTATTAATAAATATAAATTGTTCTTCTGAAAGTATAGCAAAAATCGACATACGCCTTTTCGTTATAAAGGCGACGATATAAACAAAAACAAAATTTTATTTTAATAATTTTTTCCCTCCTAAAGAATATTTAGTCTAAGTTCCTGAATTTTAAAAGTTATAAAGTTTTCTATAACACAGTTTTTAAAAAATCTCTTAAAGACTTATTTCTAAGCCGCAAACCGCCACTTGAATATAATTGCTTTATTTTGCCTCTCATAAACTTCGCCGTCTAGAAGTAAGAATCGGAAGTTTGGTTTGAAGTTGAGGATACTTGTTTTTTAACCACCTCGTAGCACTTTTCCTGAAAACATTTTTCAGCTAAATCGGTGTAATTAGTTAACAGACTTACAGTCTAGTTTAATTAAATAGACGTCTTTTTTGCATAACGAGTATCTCGTCGAAATTTTACATGAAATATAGGCAAGTAAGCGAGGGTTTTAGTTTTAGGGTCCGAATTCTGAACACCTGCACCGCTTTACGTGAAATTGTAACAGTCAATAGAGATATATGTAAGAAACAAAAGTTACAGAGTAGCGATGTATGTTTTCATCCTGAGGGTGAGTACCATCCCTTCTCGGGGGTGAAAAATAATCACCCATATTAATTACAAAAATCAATAAAGGGATTAATTCTAAGCAAAAAATGTTCTACGAGTATAACATTTTTTCAGAAAATTCATATTTTCCTAGTTATTTAGGATTGATTTTTTTTTTGATTTTTCATCTAAAAACTGCATATTTTTGCCAATTTTTATAAATAACTCGAAAACCTTGCGTTTTATCGCAAGATTCATATAAAGCAAAAATGAAACTTTTTGGAATAACTAAACGATCCATTTTTTGTTGGATACCGTATATAGGTGTAATAATAGCCGAGTTAGGCAAAGAAAATAAAGTCCTGCTGCACCAAGGGATAGAAGGCAATGAAAAAGCAAATGATCTAGCTAGAAAAGGAGCGAACACTCCAATAACTGGACCAGAACCGTTCTGTTTTCCAAGCGGGAACCAACTGAAAGCGGAACTGAAGAATCTGGAAGACTCCTTCCGCAACTTGGAATGGGTGTCCTCCAGCGGTCTAAAGGTGCGTATTCATTATCCGAACGAACGAACGAACGAATGTAAGTGCGGTATATTTGGACGGGGACCGAACGCATGCGGCCGTTCGCTCGACCATCCGTTTCGAGTCGGTACATCAAAGGCGTTCGCCAACAAATGCCTCCGGTCTTCTCGTGCGGTCCTATCGTGCGGTCCCCGTCCATACC